GATAAGGGTAGCAAACGTGCACACAGTCCACCTGATGGTAAGTGGTAGCTGTGGCCCATAGACATCTACGTCTATCCCCGATTACGAATCAAAATGCAGATGCGATGTCACCCGTGAACACTAAAATAGAATGCCTCGTTTCCAGTAAAACGGGTCTCCGTTTTTTTACACTCACCATACAAAACACAGCAGCGTTAAGCTGCAAATCTACGCTGGTATTCTGCGAGAACGTGTCCCTCCCCGGTCGAGCCGACCCATTCGTGCTACAACTATACCAGTAATATAGCTGCAGCATGGCTCTACCACGTTGAATCTGTTCTTAAAAATACTTTTAAAATGGAATTTAAATAAAAAAAAAAACAAAACATATTTTAAAAGGCCTGTAGAACTTAAAGCGAATCAAAGATTATTCTTTTTTATGAAATTATAAATCTAATTAAATAATTGATATCGATTTATCAATTTTATGTCTGTTAAGCGGCAACATCGAATCTGACAGCTTGGCCCATGTCATAATTATCAAAATAAATAGTCACAAGTAATATTCCTTTGCATTTGTGTTTTATTTTGTTTGTTTTTTCGCGGATTTCTTATATAATCAACGAATAAGTTTTCTAAATGGACTCCGATAATTCTTCCATGGCCTGAAAATGGATCCCGCTCCCATTCCTTACAATAACCCCCTTTACGAACTAAAAACGATATCCACTGTTAACGATGACCCCAGCTTTCACACCGGCCAGATCTTCCCAGCCCTCAGTAACTCATTCAAGAGGACATTTACGTTGTTTCAATTGTGGTTTAAATGTGACGAAAATACGAAGTCATTTGTTGTTAAAAAAAGCTGTTCTTGTAAATAAAAAAACCTTTATATCTTAAAAATCCGGACTTTTTAAACCAAATCATTTTTAATTGCATATTATCATTTTGATATGCTTTTATATGTGGGCACCCATGGCCGAAGTGTCTATGAACGGTGGGCTTAAGTTATAACTTATAAGCCTATCTCATTTATTTTAGTACGTGTTTTCCAAGTCGACCTTCGATCGAAATAAAACCTAAATATTTAATGTTGTTCGAAATGTCGTTGAGGTAAAACACTTAGTACTTAAACTTTTTACATTTTTCATATTTGAATAGTAGAAATGAAACAACTGGAGGGGAATATATATATATACTGGATGGCGCTTACGTTATCACGTTAAATAGCACAGCAGTTAATACAAGTTGATATATGTCAGTTACAATAATAAAATAAACAATAATAAAAGATAATAAAAACTGCATATTTCAAACAAAATAAATAGCGTAAAAAATTGACAAGAAATAAATCAACCTTGATAATATTAGTTTACTGACAGTGCTCACGTGACATCGACATAGGTAATTATAATACCTACACTTGACCACACATAGGTAATTAGGCACGCGTAGGGCGATGCTAATCCGATGTTATCAACGAATCATAAATTTCATGGTATTGTTTTCATCTAAATAATCACTTTAATCTAGAAATCAGTCAAGTTTAATAATCAAAACAAATCAAATTTTGAAAAAAAAAACAATCATGTCGGTGTATTCTGACGACGTGAACTTGTTATACAAGGCATCTTTAAATTAAAAAAAAAATTAAGACGTTAAAAACATAAAAGCGTGCAATTGGCTGTCACACCACTAAGTTATAAAATACTCGTATGATTATTTAGCGTATTATTAATGTATCGTATCACAAATAAAAAATACAATACAGGAAAAAAAGCGTCTCATTTCGCACAAACTGTCACACCACCTTATCACAACTGTAATTATCGTGTCCTATTACAAACAAATTAAGAAACTTATTAAAATGTCCACAAAACCAAAAAAAAAACAACAATTCGAACTTAAAGGACGTGTACGCGAAAAACGAAAATTAGGTCAAGCGACTCATGAATCATCCACGAGGACGCCGGCGTCGGACTAAGTGATGTACTCGTACTTTCTTACTAATCGTCGCAAGCGCCAGAAAAATATGAATTTCGACACCCCATCCCTTTTCTCCTTTATTTTAAGGGGGATCCTCCGATAGCAGCGCCATACATTTTTCTTTTCCTATATACGTTAAACACAGACACTATTTGTTTAAAACTAATCATTTTATTACTTTTCTACACTGAAATGTGCTTGCGATTGACCTTCTTAGAAAATAACTTACAGTACTTAAGTTGGGTGTGGCAGAAGAAGCATGAGAGTAGAATAAATGCTGTAGAAATGCGGTCATTAAGGAGTATGTTAGGGATGAAGCTGAATGACAGAGTGAGAAATTGTTTAATAAGAGAAGAGTGTGGTTTGCAAGATGATATTGTGACCAGGATTAAGAAAGGAATGCTTCGGTGGTTTGGCCATGTAGAAAGAATGAATGAGGAAAGAGTGACAAAACAAATTTATGTTGCAGAGGTGAACGGCATAGTCGGGAAGGGTCGCCCTAGGCGAAAGTTTATCGACCAAATTGGCGATATATTAAAAATGGGCCAAATCAAGAGTACCTTTAACCGACGAGCGTGTATGCGTAGGTATATGGATGTGGAGGAAGCGAGAGAGGTGTGTCAGGATCGTGCCAAATGGAAGTCCATAATCTCTGCCTACCCCTCTGGGTGACAGGCGTGAGTGTTTATGTATGTATGTATGTATTTATTGAGAAAAACAATAGTGAAATCTAGGAAAATTTTGACACTTCTTTAGTAGTGTGAGTGAATTTTGACAACTTGACAAGCAAAAGCGCCAAAACATAGGTTAAACATTGGCACGCTAGATGGTGTGCAGACGACATTGTTGTCCAACAAATACCATTATTTGTGGGTAGATATTATGCAACGATGCCGTACTTCCTAACCTTGAACTAGATGCATGGAGAAAAAGCGATGCCAAACTTATTACAGTCAAACAAGACAAGGGTCTTGTTTGACTGTAATAAAATTCAAACATTCTTTAGTAAATCTCGATTGTCAAGGGATAGGATTTGCGCGCGGAATTTCTTGCGATTTATGTAATATTTTTGTATGATTTTCATTGGTTCAATTTGCAATATTTCTAGTATGTATTTGATTCCAATATAATACAATATATTGTAATTTATTTTAGGTATAGTCATTAATTATTCAAAATACGCAATTTTGTTTTCGGTGGTATAAAAAACGCAAGTTAGCCCGTTTTTTCAAACCTCGTTACAATACTATATTACCTTTGTCATACGTGTCAGTGTTGAGTACAAAACTAAAAGTCAGTGTTTTGTTTGAATAATTTTTTCAACAATAAATAAAATTATAAATTAGTAAACCATCAAAGTAGTCACAAAATTAATTTTACAAACATTTGCAAAATATAGTTTTGCGGAGTTACGTAAAAATACCTATTACGTATTTTGCAAACAGTTTCAGACAGACACATATTATTATTAGTTATATATATATATATATATAATTTGTTATTTTCACCGCGGCGGACATTTTCTTTTCTTTTACTTTTTTAACTTATAAAAAAGTTACGGCCTAAATACACGTCCCACAACTGGGCATAGGCCTCCTCTCATTATGACAGGGTTTCAGGGCAAGGAAAGGTCCGCCGCGCTGCCCCACCCCAATTTGTGTTGGCGAATTTCACATCTCTTCGAAATATATATTTTTTTCTTATTTGTCAGACATGCAGGTATTTGCATTTACATGATTTTATTTAATATTAAAACGAAAAAAATGTTAACTCGACTAGAGTTATCAGTTGTGTATATTTAAAGAAATTTATGTAAGATATATACGTCTTTTCATTTAATGTGAAAACTTTATCGTTACTAGGTATATATATATATATATATATATATATATATATATATACATCAACAACTAAATATATATATATAATTTTAGTTGCTGATGATACTTTTTTGACTTCAACGGAAATTGTTAAAATATGATGAAATGTAAAATGCAATTGAAATGAGTACAGTGGTTACACACTAAGTTAATAAAAAATACAACAATTTACTTTAATACGGTAATAAATTAAATATATCAAACGCACAACACTAAATGTTTGACAAGTACGTAAATAGTAAGAGAAAGCACAATCTTGTCACACCAGTTACTATGTTTCAAAGAGTGAAAATTCCTTCATGAGACATTGTATACGCTTTATACAAAAAAGTGTCCAGAAAATATACACCTATTAAAAAGTTTATAATTTTAATTCAGCAAAAATTGTTAAATAAGGCTTATCGTACTAATAAAGAGTACATGATTTTTAATAACTTCTAGGAATGAGGTGATTGCTACCATACTGTTTCTAAAGTTTTTCATATTTTATTGCACAACATATTATATTGTAAATTAATGCTTAAAAAAAAGTGCCGCTGCGCTTCTTTCTGATTCAGGAAACATACCAATGCTGTTTATGCGACACGTGTCCTGCCTATAAACGTGTCAACATCAGAATAAGTAGGCTCTGTATTGGCAAGTCGCTAAATTACACTTTTTATGTTTTATTTTTTTAAATTTATATAAGTATAAGTAATAAAAATTTTATACTATGTATTTTCCCTAAATTATGTTTACAGGTACAGCCTATTAAAGTCCACTGCTAAACATAGGTCTACCCATGAATTAACTCATAGAGGGGATTTTGCTATAGTTGTGGTGCTTGGAAACGGGTTGACACCCGTAGTTCTTTTTTATTTTTAGTCATTATTCGGAAGACAATGCTGCTCGTCTCCTGATTTGTTTCCCTCTGTTGCCTCTTACGACACTCACGGGATGATTGATTTACCATGTAGTTGTAGTGTAATAATATCCATTACTCCATATTATGTTAATTAAAAGATTTTTACTAAAAATTACTTTTATTTGCTTGAATTTTCAAATTAGAATTTTTTGTTGCAGATGTTCTTCCAAATGAGTCTCAAGCAATTAAGAATAGACCTAAAACTATATAACGAATGGATGAGACAAGGCTGAGTGATGTTAAAGCTAGTAATGTGGACACAAGAAATGCAGACGAACTACTTCTTTGGTTATCGACTGAAGATTGGACTCATTGTGATTATCATCATGGTTCTTGGATTCTTTACTGAGAGTCAAGGTAATTTAATATTTGTGTCATAATTCTGGTCGGATATTTTGGATACAAAATTATTTAATATTTCCAGTGTGTAATCTTATTACCCTGAGTTTTCATAATGTCAGCATGGACTAAAAACAATTTAATGACTTAAAAAACAATATTGTTTTTTTGCGAATAACGAGTGTAATTATCGTTTGTCAAGTACAATTTCCTAAACTAGGCGTAGATTAAATAAAGGAGCTTCCAAATGAGGTTTATCTTCGACGATATCTCGTTAATTGCTTAGAAATATTCATGCCTATAAAAAATCTAGCTCTTTCCGGAAGCTTAATTTAAGAAAAGCATTCCTGGTGGGAGGTTACACGAAATTTCATTAAAGTATAAATTGTGAAACACAAACTTTTACCTAGCCGAAATAAAAAAAAAATTAGTAGATTTTAATAACATTTAAAAAAACGAACTCTGTTGTTCATTCCATTGCCAGAGCCAAGCTTTTAAGACCTTTTTAATGATTATTTTGTTTCTTATATAACTTGCGGTAATCGCCATGCTAGGCAGATGGCTTAGCAAATGTAATTTTTAATAGAAAAGGGGAAAATTAGCACGTGGCTCACCTGATGGTATGTAACTACCGCCGCTCACGAACAACTGCAACTCTAGTTTTTTTTGAAGCCGATTCCACAAATAATTTGGGCGGGTCTCAAAATGCTGCTGGAATTAGGTCGAACAACTCCTTTGAGCACTCCCTATGGTAGATAGGATAGAAAATGTAAAGTGATGCAACATCTCTTCGCAACGCTAGTAGTTAAGGCGATTAGAAAGAAATCGGTCGTCGACGATTCGGGCCGCACTTTACACTGGATACAGTCGAGTGAAAGAAGCTGGCACTGAGATGAGATTACTTTTTCAGTATTCGACTCGATTACTTTGGCCCATCGAAGTGTCAGGTAAACTAGGAGATCACCACCTGAGCGTTTCCGTTCAAAACGGTACTGACGGTTACAAAACAGCCGGTGCCGAATTATTTGGCTGTTAATAATTAATTCCATTATTTCAAAGAACAAAGAGGTGATGGTAACAGGCCTATAGTTTTAGCTGTTTCTCTTTTTAGTGAAAATACATAATGTATTAAAAACATAAAATTTCACGATATTTTGTTTTCGATAGTACGATAAAATAAGACGTGAGGCAATGCGTTCAAGTACATAATTGCTGCCCGACTCATAAAAATTGACTTCAATTCAAGTAATACTTAACCCTTTCCCTCCCATGAATTATATTTGAACATTTCAATTATTTATCTATTTCGCGGTCAAAAAAACTTTTAAGAGTTGTATTTTTACTAAATGACTGTAGGAGAAGACAGATATAGAGATTTATCATCACCATCATCATATTCACTACAGCCCTTCAAGTCCACTGTTAAATATGGCTCCCCCACAAGGAATGCCACAAAGTACGGTCCTGAGCCACCTGCATGTATAATAATATGTAAAAAATGCAGATATATATACAGTATTATTATTTAAATAAGCGATAGACATCTATGATAAACATGGTTTTTAATTTACATTATATCACAATATCAGATCATTGTATTAAGGATTATTCTATATCTACTGGTCAGATCTTGATAAAATTTATATTTAACTACATGAGAAGCACCAGCTTCAAGAAAAATTATCAAAATCGGTTCACATAGATATGAGGTTATGAGGTAAAACAAAAACAAACAAATACAGTCGAATTGATAACCTCTTTTTATTGAAGTCGGTTTGAAAAAAATCGATATACATATACAAATTATTTTAAAAAACAGTCAACAAATAGTTTCTCACGTTAGTAATTTTAGCAAAATTTGTTGAATAAATATTTTATAATTTATTATAATTATCGAAATAGTTTTTTATTCAAATTTACTTAGGAATTATTTTTGTAAAAAATTACAATTGACTGACATATTACCACTCACTGTGCGGTTTTCAGACACAATAAGACAATAGCAATGAACTATATGTAGTACACGGGACATAGAAAGGGTTAAATGATGTGTGCTCCAAATGTGATACTACAGTGTTAAGCTCACATTTCGTATTTAAGATTGCAGCTCAACTCGTTATAAATATAACTGGCTTAACGAAGGAAGCCTCGTGCCGGCCACTTGACCTAACAGCCTCAGACTAAGCCTCTTAAAGTTTTAAAATGAAAGTGTTATGCGCTAGGAAAACTTGGCTTGCAAGGAAATTTAAACCGTCTCTTTTGACTGCAGCTTATGCTAAATCCATGTTCTGACAGATGGAAGGTTGTAGACTGCTTTAAAATGTTTTTTCTACAGCTAATATAATTAATGGGCCTATATTTTGCAAACTAGAAAAATATTTTCGATTTAAATTATTTGAAATAGCATTAATAAGAACGATAACCTTTTGTAGACCAAAAAGTCGCTTACTACTGAGTAAGCTAAAGACCATGAAATGTCGCTTTCGGAATCCGGATCCGGACACTGATGGAACGGCACTTACAATTTATAGGATAAATTGCACAACTGTACAAACACTTCAGCACTTCGACATACCGACAGTCAACTTGGCACCGCTGAAGGGACTGCGGCACCGCTCAAATTTCGAAGGAATTAAAGGCTTTCTCATAGTCCACATACGCCAGACATAGTGGCAAATTCTACTCTTCTTAGTTAACCATAGACGCGGTAAAATGCGTTTTAGTACTTATTAAATAAGTAAATAATCATTAGTATATGAATAATTCCACAAACCGTAATTTTTTTGTGCAGAATATTCATGAAATGTAAACTTCCTTATGTCGCACGCTTCACATAACTTTGAATTTTTAATAGAATAAATGAATAACATTAAGCAAACCTTAATCTGTCAGATCCAAACTTTTTACCGCCTTAACTTCTGCGTAAAAAGGGGTCGTACAAGCTCCAAAATTAAGGATGTTTACCTGACACGTACCCACATTAGAGCTCAGATGTTGTCGCAGACCCGAGTAATTTCTTAATCAACCTGCCTTTGTTTACGCTAATTGTAACATTAGCTATTCCATTTGGGACTCTACAACAAACAGAATGTTAAAAATGCTTATTCTTTAATGAGATGTCAACACGTGTGTATTACGTCGTTAAATTACTTAAAATTTTGCATATTATTAAACAACATTGCTTTCATATAGGGTAAATAAATTCAATAATATTTTACGTTTTGCCTTATGATTATTTTAATATAACAGTACAATTCATTTTAATAGTTTAAGTAGTACTAATAGTTACTTATTGGTACTATTAAAACAAAGAATCGCCACATAATAATACTCTAAGGCTATAAATAATACTTGTTTTGCTCAAATTTTGGCTTCAGTCGATATTATTTACCCGATTGCCGCAGAAGAAGGATAATATTTTTCGAGTGTATGAATGTATATCTATTTCTTTAGAACACTGTAATGTAAATGGCTTGATGAATATTAACAGATGGGTTATTGTTAAAATCGTTTGTGTCGAGTCAAATCGAGTTCTGGAAGTGACATAGGATATAAAACTATTATATATGCGTCAATTACTGTTTTAACCAAAGGTTTTGTTGACTGACTGATACAAGAAAAATGTTAAAATTTTGCGTATAGTAATAATATTAAAGCAAAATTTTACTACTTCGCTCTTCATTATCCCCAATTAATCAAATAAAAATCGTGTACTTACTCAACCCCTTCAGCTGTTTTATTATAATTGAGATAGAATCAGGCCTATTCAGTTTTTTTTTTAGATTCAGGGTTCAGTAACATAAGTTCATATTAAAGGGAGGTTATCCCAGACCTGTAGGTAATTATAACGCTTTCCCAGTTCACGCCATTTAGCGCGACGCACGACGTATTTATTTCCGATGTGGCGTGAACTATAGGTACTCTATGCGGTAATACTATGTGCTCCGTGCGGTAAATAAACGCCACAATATAAATATCGTATTATATTCGTACTAGCTGTGCCCCGCGGTTTCACCCGCGTCATCACGTGTCGGAGGTGCGCGACGTGACCTAGTTCAAGCATTTTATAATTGCAATTAAATATTTTATTTGATAGCAATGGATGGAAAAATTGGCATAATTAATGGAGTACATTTATCTGTCGGCATATTATGTATGATGTAGAGCGAAGTTAAGTTTTATCCACTTTCCCTCCCCCCTCCCCCACCTCACCCCACGTTCCAGAAAGTGTCACGAAGTGCGGTTTTTTACAGTTTTAAAGAAAACCGTACACGATACATGAAAAGTGTGTTGGCATGAAATGATTCTTGAGCTATCAAACTCTTATACTTACTTGTTAAACAATTAAATTTTCAAAATATCATAGCAACTTGAAATGAAAAAGTTCAGAAATAAAGATGATCATTATAGCTAAAATAAATTTTTTATTTTAGCTATAATGATTGAACTAACTCGCTCTTACAAGCTATCTTATACTGGCTTCTCGCAGTTCTTATCGTCTGGTCTCCTCTGCCGAGGGCTTCCATCTGGTTGGGTTTTTATATATTTATGTATTTATATGTATTTATTTTATTTTATTGATATTTATGTACGTTTACAATCTTTATTTACAATTATATATTTATATTTCCCAACCAGATGAGAAAACTATAGATACCCCATAATAATAATAATCTTTACTTGCAAGAATATAGTTGTACAGTGGTGTTTGAGTATAATTCGTTCTACATATTATTCTAACTTAGTGGTGTGCAAATATTAACCGATTAGTCCAAATAACCTATAAAACAATACTTATCGAATTTTAACAACATATAAGTTATTTAATATTATTCACTGGATTCGACAATTAATTAATAATGTAATAGTGTCAGAAAAATGCCAATAAGATATATAAGTAAGTATTATTAGCTCAAGTAAGATTATTATTATAGTTCAATGTCAAATATTCTTATGTCAATAATTATATAATGTCAATTATAAGTGTTAAATATCCAATTGTCATTAATTTATTTCTA